CTATACTTCACTTGAAATTCAAGTTTCATTCATATAGCATTCAATGATCGTAGCCCCTATGCATCAATTAACAATACACAGAAATGTCTTTCTCAAAGTTTTAATACCAGTGAGCATAAAAACAAAACAAAAAAATCCCTTGATTCTTCACCACAATTAGAAACCAAAAACGAAAATCAAATTCTGAATTGAACTTGAGGGTAGAAAACATTAATAATACAAAGTTTATGGTTCAGCCTCTGTTATTTTCCTTTTTCCTACTACTACTCTTTTGCCATGGCAAATGGCAAATGGCAAATGGCAAATGGCAAATGGCAAATGGCAAATGGCAAATGGCAAATGGCAAATGGCAAAATGTGTAAATGTAATAATGATTTTGGAGTGCCTTTTTTGTTCGTTACTTCCATTCCATTAAAACTCCAACTGCAATATTTTAATGGCCGAAATGTGCAGGACTCTTCCATGACTTTTCTATCTGCAAGTAACATATCCCAAGTACATTTAAAAACAGCAGAGTTCAGAGCTTTTATGTGAACTGCGAGAAGAACGATGAAGGTTTCAAAGTAGAACACTGTCTTTACCAACTTCTCTCCTACTTCACCAATTCAAGTTTTATTTTATTTCTCAAAATTTCCCTCCCGCTTTACTGTCATTGAAGTGAAATGGAAACTAACTCAGTTTCCAAGCTGTTTTTTTTTCTTCATTGCCCTTTTAGCGAGTTCCCAGCTGATCCACTGCAGCGTTACCTACGACAAGAAAGCTATTCTCATCAATGGACAAAGGAGAATCCTCATCTCCGGCTCCATTCACTATCCCAGAAGCACCCCTGAGGTATTGTCTTTTTAGTCTGTGTGTGTGATTTTTTTTTTAAACAAATCTCCTGAAACTTTTATAAAGTACTGATTTTGGGCTGTTTCTTTCCTGGTTGTAGATGTGGGAGGATCTTATTAAGAAAGCTAAGTCGGAGGCTTGGATGTCATCGACACCTATGTCTTTTGGAACGGTCATGAACCTTCTCCTGGCAACGTACTGCTTTAGATCTCTAATGGGTCATCATGTTTCTTTTCAGTTCAACTTCTTTAAAATTTCATTAGAGTTTCTTATTTGATATATTTCCAGTATAATTTCGAGGGAAGATACGACCTGGTACGGTTTATCAAGACAGTGCAAAATCGGGATTATACGTTCATCTTCGCATTGGACCTTATGTTTGTGCAGAGTGGAATTTGGGTACTTACTATTTTTATGATCCTTTGCCTTTTTGGTTGAAGAATTCTTTTAACTTTCTTAAAGAGTAAATGCTTGGTAAAATATTTGTTATAATTTAGTTTATGTATTTTTATTTCTGTTTGTTGAGTTGAGTAGTTTACACTCTTGTATTTTCTCTGCTACAGAGGATTTCCCGTTTGGCTAAAGTTGTTCCTGGTATCAGCTTCAGAACTGATAATGAGCCCTTCAAGGTGTCTTTTTGTCTATCGGTTCTGTCTGTTTGTTACTTTGAATTTAAAATGGAAAACTAATAGGCTTTTAAGTTTCATCCCCCCCCCCCCCCTCAGAGAGCAATGCAAGGATTTACCCCAGAAAATTGTCCAAATGATGAAGAATGAAAGACTTTTGCATCACAAGGTGGCCCCATCATCTTGTCTCAGGTATGAGATATCTGCTATTTGGCATTTAGGTTTCTAATTTAGTGGTTTTGATTTGCTTAAATTAGCTACGATGCCATAACGGTGGATTCTTTGGTCTGAATTGGCTTACTATTTTAAGCTTGTTGATCTCTTTAGTACTATTATTTCATTTTTGTGCAGATTGAAAATGAATATGGACCGGAGAGTAAGGCACTTGGAGCAGCTGGTCATGCATACATTAATTGGGCTGCAAAAATGGCTGTTGAACTGAATACGGGAGTCCCATGGGTAATGTGCAAGGAAGATGACGCCCCAGACCCTATGGTAAGCTATGATCTGCTTAACTCCAATCATTTCTTCATCTTTACCAGTTTCATGTCATCTTGAAAGACCTGACTATGATTCCACTCGTATTTTGAATTCAGATAAATGCATGTAATGGCTTTTACTGCGATGCATTCTCACCCAACAAACCTTACAAGCCTACGTTGTGGACCGAGGCTTGGAGTGGCTGGTGAGTACTTTCCTTGCCGATCCTCTAGGCTGATGTTCGGAATGGTTAAAGTTAACATACTTATTTCTCTATTAATTTATCTGATATTTCTTCCCCCAACATTGTGAAGGTTTACAGAATTCGGTGGCACAATTCACCAGCGTCCGGTTCAAGACTTGGCGTTTGCTGTTGCTCGTTTCATACAAAAGGTGGCTCGTATATTAATTATTATATGGTTAGTTACCATGTTTATTTTGGTTTTTAATTGAAACTTTGCATGTTACCGGCAACAGGTTTAATCTTACAGCTTATCCTGTGTTTGCATTTGATAGTATCACGGAGGAACCAACTTTGGACGGACAGCTGGTGGACCATTTATTACAACCAGTTACGACTATGATGCTCCGATCGACGAATATGGTGAGAAACCAAATTCATTCTCATCGTAACTAAAACCATAAATTGTGATGTTCCCTTAATTTTTCACAATCTAAGCATGCCTTATCTGAATCTGAAAGGAGCAATCGGTTAATCCACATATCGTTGTCATTTCCTTTTCTTCCTTGCAATATTCTCATAGATTTGTCTTCGAACTCTTACTAGTGTGACTGACAAGCTTATATCATTTAGGCTTAATCCGGGAACCTAATACAGTCATCTGAAGGAGCTTCACAAGGCTATTAAGCTATGTGAACATGCTTTAGTATCCTCGGATCCTACTGTTACTTCATTAGGAACCTATCACCAGTAAGCTTTTCAACTCAATGATTACTCTTTATTCATCTGTTGGTGATAGTAGATAATTTGCAGAAAGAATTTTCCACTGACAATGATAGTAATGATTACTTTTCAGCCCATGTATTCTCATCAAGGGGAGGAAGCTGTGCAGCTTTTCTCTCTAATTACCATATGAAATCTGCTGCCAGGGTGACTTTTAATAACAGGCACTACGATTTGCCCCCTTGGTCTATTAGCATTCTTCCTGACTGCAAACATGTGGCGTTTAACACTGCATTAGTAAGTAAATTCAGAGGCCACTGTTTTAATGTAGTTTAAAGCTAATTTGTTTAAATCTTTTGGTTTTCTTATGGAAGTACTTATATAGTTATCCTATGTGCAACAAGGTTGGGGTTAAAACCTCGCGAATCCAAATGTTGCCGACGAACTCCAAGATTATCATGGGAAGCTTATGATGAAGACATTTCTTCTCTAGGGGAAAGTTCAACAACCACGGCTCCTGGACTCTTGGATCAGATTAATGTTACAAGAGATAAAAGTGACTACCTGTGGTACACTACCAGGTAGGCATTTTGATACACTTGAGATTTAATATTTAGTTTAAATCGGTCAAGGCAACAGGTTCATAATTTTTTTTCTTCTTGATTAAATTTCATTCCAGTGTTGACATTAGTCCGTCGGAATCATTTCTAAGAGGAGGACGAAAACCCACTCTCAATGTGGATTCAGCTGGCCATGCTCTTCATGTCTTCATCAATGGACAGCTCTCAGGTTAGTTGTAGATTTACTCATCAAGTAAAACGGTTAACCTACATTACATATAGAGCAGTGTACTATATATCTGCATAAGTCTTACTAAAGCGTAAACATTACAGGGTCTGCATATGGAACTAGGAAGACCGGGCATTCACATATACAGGACCAGCGAACCTACATGCGGGAACAAATCGCATTGCACTTCTCAGTGTAGCTGTTGGATTGCAGGTTAGTTGCTCGACCATGCGTTTATGGATATTTGGACTATTCATTTACATTTGAACCATACTAAAACTTTAAACTCAATACACTATAAAGTTTTTCAATTATTGACACGAATTTATGGTGGCGTGAAGAATGTTGGAGTGCACTACGAGACATGGAAAACTGGAATCCAGAGTGTTTCGTTGCATGGTCTTGACCAACGAAAGAAAGACTTAACGTGGCAGAAATGGTCATACCAGGTTTGACAACTTGCATTCTTTTGCCAAAAACTACTATTTGCCTGTTTCAATGATGCATTATGAATTCCAGAACAAGTTACATTTTGCTTAGAGAACTACTCTCGAACAGGTTGGCCTAAAAGGAGAATCAATGAATTTGGTTTCCCCAAAGGGACTCTCATCTGTCGAATGGATTCGGGGTTCACTAGCTGCACGGAGCCGGCAGTCTATGACATGGTACAAGGTAAAAATGCTGCAGGGGTTTATTGTTTTTGTTTTATTTTTGTGAGAAGCTAATCATGGCTTGGATTATTGTAGGTATATTTCAATGCCCCGGGAGGCAATGAACCATTGGCTTTGGATATGCGGAGTATGGGAAAAGGTCAGGTATGGATCAACGGACAGAGCTTAGGAAGATATTGGATGGCTTATGCAAAGGGTGACTGCAGTACTTGTAGTTACTTGGGGACATTCCGACCTACAAAGTGCCAGAGTGGTTGTGGCCAGCCCACCCAAAGATGGTATTACATCATTCTTAAACTCCATAAATGTCTAGGCCTAGCATAAAATACGAATCCTCCTAAACTCTTTATTGTCTGGATATTTTAGGTACCACGTTCCGAGATCATGGCTAAAGCCAACACGAAATTTGTTGGTAGTCTTTGAAGAACTAGGTGGAGATGCATCAAAAATCTCTCTTGTGAGGAGATCGGTTTTATAAACATTACCTGGACAACATCACAAGTGAGAAAGCTGTGAAGAAGAAAAGAAGAAAGAGGAGTAAGGATATGGATATGGATGGAAAAAATATTCCAGTTTCACTGTCTAGATTTTATTTCACTATTGTTTAATTGGGCAGCCATCAACAAATTCACCATGTGTGATTATGAATGATCTGTAAAGAAATGGGAAGTTCAGCGTAGAGCACTGGATTCTAAGCTCAGAAAACAGGCAAGGATTTTAATATAATATCTGATACCATACAGATACAAAAGCAGAAGCAAACAGTGGATAAACACAAACACAAATACAACCACATAGTATCCATCAGAAAGACGGATATTTATGAGACTCTAGTTTCAGAAACAACTTCAAACTTGACGAAGTAGAACTGAGCATTTATTCCATACTTTAAGCATCAACTTCAGCAGAGTACATGACTATTTTCTGCTCGATTTCATCTTTCCTTGCCCCCACTGTCCGGTCAATTACATTGTCTCCTTTGAGATAAATTAAAGTTGGCATGGCCTGCACATCCTAACCTTCGGCCACAGTCTGAGATAAACAAAACCATAAAATGGCCAATAAAGTAAAATAACTACCTCTACCATCCTCTGCTTCAGTCAAGTTTAAACAAATCAAGAAGCTAAATTCACACTGTATTATAAGAAGCAAAGGCTGAAGAGACGATACCTTCAATTCATCCACATCCACCTTCAAGACTATGAGATTGGGCAGCTTCTTCGCAAGATCTGCCAAGACTGGTGCAATAAAACGACATGGCCCGCACCATGAAGCTGTGAAATCCACCACCACCTATCCAACAAATATTTGATTAAGCATAATAAAGCTTTTCAAATATCATGGGGAAAAAAGAAAGAAGAAAATCATCAGAAATTGGTGAAAAGCCAAAACATTAGTGACTGATGAACTGGAACAAAAAGAATGGCATATCCATGAAACAAACAAAGCATAGATTTTTACCAGTTTCTTGGACTCCTTTGCTAACCGAAACTGCTGTTCCCATGAATCAACAGTGTGACAGCTGATCACTTGTCCCTCTGCCGCCATGTTTTTCCCTTCGATTCTTTCCTGTCAAACAAAGAAGCAGACTAAACGGCAGAAGCAGATACCTTTTCTTTGCTCCTTGAATTCCACGACACAATTCCTTTATATAGGGGAGTTAAGAATCCTGTTATGAGAATGCCATTTGTAAACGTCATTACGAAACACGTGGCGGCGATTTCTCATATGTCAGTGACGCAAGCTTTTAAAGGTCGTCGGCGAAAATTGAAATAGTTCCGTCCATTCCATTTATATGAGAACACGACACCAACAAGTTGCAGGGGATGACGGTAATTGTCTTTATTATTATTATTATTAAAGGGGATTACGGTAATTGTAAATTATACCTAATAAAAATATAACGCCACGCATCCTTTCTACCTAAATATCACAAATAAAAAATTATTCCATAAATTAACCTTTATTTTTAATTATTTTTCTTCAAACAATATTTTTATAATATATTTTAGAATTTCAACTATACCAAATTAATTTAAGTTTATAATATATATATTTATATTTATAATAATTGTTAATATAATTTCGTGTTAGACGTGTTTTATTAGTCATGTCTTTCATTTAAATTGAGATAATGTCTCTCACTTAGATTTGAGATATCTTTCAAATCTCATATGTTATCACGTAGAACAAAAATACATTTTTTAATAGATGAATAAAATGGTATGTTTTTATTTTATGTGCGATGAAAGGATTTTTTTGGGAACAATTTCTATTTAGGAGAAGGAAAGAACAATTTTACTCCTAATACATATTTAACTCACAATCTAAGAGAAAGAATAGATGTCAACTGAGAATTTTTAACTACTTACTCAGAGATTATTGACGTTAAAAGTTTCATTTTAAAAACTAATCAAAGTATTGTATTAATTTAGAAAATAATTTTAATTCCTTATGTCATCGGTTTGTTCACTTTTGATCTCTTAACTATTAATTTATGTTAATCCATCAACGAAAATCAGAGTTGACAATTAAAATATAAACTTCTACTTCTTAAATAGGTACACAATCCAAAAGCTTTAACATTATTAACAGCAACATGAAGCTGGGCCAAATTATCACCATTGATATCAAAATCATCATCCAATTCGCATTTACCCTACTTTATAATTATTATTATATATATTAATTATTATTATTATTTTACTTTCAAATGTCATCCTAAAAGATTGGGAATCCCTTAGTTCAAGAACACAATTGGTTCACCGGCGAGAACCCATGCCCGAAAAACAATCTCAATGACATTCGAGACTGAACAATGAAAACTCTATAAGCCGCAAAGACGCGACGAACGCGACAACTAACGTCAAATCTGCTGTCCCAAACGACAATGGATTCAACATGCAACTACAGGGGTTTTCATCTTTTATTTTTCTTTTTGTTATACTTTCCAACATCAACAAGTGAATACAATCAAGAGGATGAATATTAGAGATCAAATAACTGACATCAATAATCCGACGACAACGGCTACTCTGATCTCGAAAAAAAATAGTAAAAGATTTATCCAGTAACAGTCTTGAGTAATAGTTGCGATGATTCACAAGGGAAAAATGAATATTTTAGAATGGAGAAGTTAACGATGAAGGCTTTGAGAATGGTGGTTCAACAGCGAGGTGGTTGGACAGTTCAGCCAACGGTGTTGGCGATGGTGAACTCTTTGAACGACATTGGTTGTGTAACGTGTTGATGACTACTGAGGCGATTAAAAACGACGAATGTCGTGAGAAATTAAACAGCGGTAATGACCCAGGCTAATTGCCTCGATGGAGGCGAAACTCAAGCGGCGGTAGAGGCCTATTAAGTGGCGGCAACGATAACAGTGAGAGGAAAACTATGGTTCCCATTTACTTGTCAATCTGACGGTTAAAATGCCTAACCACTAAATTAACAAATTTTGCATCCTCCTTGTTAAAGTTTAAATGACTTGGCTACAAATCAGTGCTTCACATACATGCTTGGGTACAATTTTAAGGTTTGTTTGTTCAATATTTATATCATTCCTTCGTTTAAGAGTTATCAGTTTTGTATGTATATATTTTGTTGAAGCTACTTCAAGTGATTTGAAATAATGTTTATGGTTAAAGTACATGCAATTAGCTTGAAGATTTTTCCTCCTTTTTTACTTTGTCTAGGGTTGTTGTAAAGAGTGAACCGTCTTTTTTATTTTATAGGCTTCTTATGAGTTGCCAGAAGTGATTCTTTACATGTTCATATGAATGCAATTAGTTTACTGTTTGTTTTCTTGTGATGAAGAGTTGCATATTGGTATTTCTGTTCTTTTACTCGCATAATTTTAGTCTAAGGGTATTTTAGAAGAAGATGATGAATGGTTTAACGTGGAGGTTTTTTATTTTTTAATTTTCAACTTAAATATCTGTTAATGAATTAACGGGAGCTAAAGGTTGAAAGATTAAAATCAAACAAATCGACAATGTAAGAAAATAAAACCATTATTATTTTTGAACCGATGACTTAACCGGACAGACCGAAAACATACTGATATTTAGGTAAAAAGGGGTCGCCTTGCTGCTAGCTCCCAGTGCTTGCTTTGCTTTCAGGAGGAAACACGTCATTCTTTAGGGAAGCTCAAGATAAAGCCCATTCCTCGTTAAAGGCCAATTGTATTTTTCTCTATTGGATTTGGAGTTGGAGGCCTACTTATGAAATTTTATTTTGTACTACCATGTTAACGGTATCCATTTTCTTCATTTTTGGACTGTTCAAATTCTTTAATAAAAAAATTAAAATTATTTTTGGAAAAATAGATTAAATTCCTATTTGTATTGGATTTTATCACATCTATGGCATAAATAATTAAACACGTTTCATATAATAAACCATTGAGAAAAACGTTTAATAAATAATTATATAAATGAAGTAGTAAGAAATTTGTATGTAAATTTATTAGTCTCGTATTTAGATTTTAACTTGAAGTTTTTAATAATTTAAAATAAAAATCATACAAAAATATTAAAAGATAAAAATATTATTGTAACCTAAAAGAAGATTATTTTATCTAATACTTGATTAATCCTTGCAATGATGCTAAAAGAAGATTATCTCTAATTACCTTTTGAATAAAAGTATGGAAATAATTAGTCATTATCCCAATTAAAAAGATTTTTTTCTCTTGCATTCGAATAGAAAACGACGTATGAAAGATGAAACAGGCGGCACCACCACCAGAGCTGTCCAGTCCAATGCCAGAATGCAGAAAAGTTAAGTCCCACGTGGGCTTCTTCACTCCACATTTTCATGCCCAAATTTTTTCTACCCCGCAAGAATATCCAATCCTTATCATAACTCACAATCCTTACCAAATTCTTCACAATCTCTTTTTCTTCCTAAGCTTTAGATTTACTAGATTTCAATATCAAATGAATCATCTAAATTACTAATAAACCAAGATAATAGCTATCCTTCTTTTCCACAAATGGGGCTAATATCGGTTTAATTCTCTTTTATTTTTAATTTCGTTTAGGCGAAACTTCAAACACTTTCTGCTTTTTCTTCAATGGCTCTCCCTCAGCTAATTCCTTCCCACTCTTCTTCGCTCACTCACCAACCTTCCATAAACCCTCACGCAGCCAACCCATACCCCATTTTCAAGCCCTTTTCGAAATCATCTTCTCTTTCTCAATCGCGCAGGTTTCACAGGCTCAACACTCTCCGTTGCTCGGCTTCCTCTTTCCCCGAGAATCACCACACCGAGCACCCAAAATCAGACGACGTGGTAGAGCTCCCCATATTTCCTCTCCCTTTGGTTCTCTTCCCCGGCGCCATCCTCCCTCTCCAGATCTTCGAGTTCCGTTACCGCATTACGATGCACACGCTCCTCCACACCGACCTCCGCTTCGGCGTCATTTACTCCGACTCCGTCACTGGTACCGCAGACGTCGGATGCGTCGGCGAGATCGTCAAACACGAACGCCTCGTCGACGACCGCTTCTTCCTCATATGTAAAGGCCAGGAACGGTTCCGTATCACCAACGTCGTCCGAACGAAGCCGTATCTCGTTGCGGAAGTCAATTGGCTCGAAGACCGACCTTCCGGCTCGGAAGATTTGGACGGATTGGCCAACGAAGTGGAGAGTTACATGAAAGACGTGATTCGGTTATCAAATCGACTTAAAGGGAAACAGGAGAAGGAAACGCTGGATTTGAGGAGGAATCTATTTCCGACTCCGTTCTCGTTTTTTGTTGGTAGTACATTCGAAGGAGCGCCCAGAGAGCAACAGGCTTTACTGGAGCTGGAAGATACAGCGATCCGGTTAAAAAGAGAGAAGGAAACTTTAAGGAATACCCTTAATTACTTGTCCGCCGCTTCTGCTGTGAAACATGTGTTTCCCTCTTCATGATGAGGATTTAATCAAAAATTTGAAGCTCAAACTTCAGTGAATATATACATATTTGGATTCGTAATTCGTTATATACGAACTGTAAATTATGGATTGGAATCTCTGCTTGTTTTTTCGGCATCTGCTGTTCTTCTCTGCGTTGATTTCCCCTAAAAATTCTCCCTTTCCCCCCACAGAACTGCATTTTACATCCATGGATTCAAACACCTGTTATTGCTACCATTCGCGTTTACATAAATCGGTTAAAGTTCCACTAGAAATTCCCACCATTATGAAGGGGCAAATGTTCTACAAAATCCGACGAAAAATGTTCTGCAAATACAACTCTGAATTTATTCTGTAAAAGCCAAGTTTTCACAAAAGGATCACCAACTGCTGAACTTTCTAAAAGATTGATTCTTTTCGGATGATTGCATTATTGTAGCATTTCCAACTCGCTGCAAGCATGAATATCCATTAGTACGGAGTAATAAAAGTCTAAAACCTAATCAAAATCATCTTACTAGAAAAAGTTCATCGATTCATTGAAATATGACGGACTGGTGAGAATTCTTAGTTCAATTACCACTTGACACTAGAAAATCCTATAAAAAAAACGTCATACTGACCTTGAAACACTGATTGTTCGTTGTGTCGCAGATTGGATAATCATGGGGGCAGCAGTGACGATTGTCTTTGCAACACACGGCTGAATCCAATTCACAACACTTCCACGAAAAGCATATTCCCAACAGGCGACGTGTGCAACAACAGGTTTCCCCAGTTGAACAGTAAGTGAAGAAATCGCACTTAGTTGGTCCTGGAGGAGGTGGAGGAGGGGGATTTGGGCTAGTCTTTATCGGATACGAAGCCAACATGTTAATGCCACAAACCCCTTCAGAATTGCCACTGTTACGTATCATATGAATATAGCCATTCATTCCCCACCTCGAACCCCATGAGTTTTTCACTATCCAATAATCCAATCCATTTTCTGAACCATAACCTACAATCAACACAGCATGATCCAAGGAAGTTGAGCATGGACCCGTGAATATCCCCTGTCCCATAAATACTCGTTAATCACAATCATACCATATCAACAAAGGTACTTTCAAAATAACTATTACAAGTTAAAACCAACCTTGGAGTACAATTGAAATGCTCTTTCGCTCCCACATATACCGACACTCACAGGTTGAGTTGCAACCGCTTGCAATAGTTGCTTCTCATTGTTCATAGGCACATCAGCATAATCATCAATTGTTACCACTCGTCGTTTCATCTGTAATAAATAAGAAAAGCGTGTATACATCAAACTTAAGTTATTGAACAAAGCCAAACTCTTGGACAAAAGTAAAAGATTTAAGGAATTGAAAAACCATTACTTTGTCTTTGTTGCAAGTTTTTTCCCGACCTTGATATGGGTAGTCTTCTTCGGTGTCTATTCCATGGTTATCAATGACAAATTTATATGCATAATCCATCAACCCACCTTCACAGCCGGTATTGTACTTTCTGTCACAATCAACTAATTCTTGTTCAGAGAGGCTAACAAGAGATCCAGTGACAATTTTATTAACACCTTCCATGGCTCCAGTTGCCGCAAATGACCAACAAGCACCTAGACAAAATCATTGTTTAGATGTTTCTCCATCTAAATTACATAAAAACAAGTTTAATCTACGGTTTGTGACTCAACAGATTTCCATGTATTACTGATGGAATAACCATGAATAATCTTAAAATTGAAACTACAATATTCTAGAAAGAACCATGAATAAACTTGAATCTTTCGGGACCAGAGGGATTGTTGCATATCCAAGTTCCCAAATGTGTTCATCACGAAGGTTTTTGGTATGAATAAAGGCACAGGAGTATTCAGCACTCTGTTAAGACAAATTAGATGTTCAATTTTCTGGCCATAAATAGGCAAATAAATCGGTTCTTGTTAATCGCCCAAAAAAGAAAGTGAAAAACTGAGTTTGTCACAAAGAATCTATCAAATTAATAACAAAACACAACATAAAAAAAATATCTGAAATAAGTGAGTATATAGCAAGCATTTGCATACCACAGCTTCCTTGATCTTTGACCTGGGTCACGGCGCCTTTCTTCCTCCAATCCACTGAAGCCGGAATATCTCGAACAAGAACGGGCTCTCCAAGGTTGGGCCGCCTGAATTCAGTGGCGTCAGCGGAGAGACCCAAGCGGGAGGCCTTGAACTCGTGGTGAGTGAGATCCGCAAAGGCATTGAGAGCCAGAGAATAAGAAGAATTTGACATGTCATTGTGTTGAGTAACAAAGGCATAGTTATCTTCAAAGACTTTAAGCCTGTAAGATTTGTCTTCCTCCGATGAGTAAGTTTTCCCATGTTGATCGCCCCAAGATTCAAAGAGGTGGGAGATATGGTAAGGAGAGGCAGAGGACGAAAGGTCGAAGAAAAGAAGGAAAGATAACAGAAAGTAAACGAAAAGGGGTTCCATTGTTTTTGTTTTGAGAAAAAAGGAGGATGATTTGGGTTTCCTAAGTGGTCTATGTTGTTTTGGCTGACTCAAGTTCCCTAAAACAATGGGTATCCAACCAAAGAGGAAGTGAAGACACGTGCCTTGTTGTTGTTTTTTTTGTTGCAATGGGTAGGTAATTGTCCGAAACGACCAGACTCATCTATCATCATTCCACTGTCCTGTTAAGATCAGATTAGAATTCCAATGCTTTGGTTTGTCGATTTCTTCTTAAATTTTTCATTTTATTTCAAATATGTGATTGGATCAAATTGGCACAAGTCACAGGCCATAAACTGAGCCTATAAATATAGTAATACTCAACAAACCAAAACCTTTTATCTCCTTTTCTTTCCTTCTTTTACAAAGGCTCCATCTTTGGCTTTGGTAGAACTTTGTACAGGAATTATTATAAAAATTAGCACTAATAGGACTAGTATTTAACTACCACCAGGTTAAGATAAATTTTAATATTTACATTACTAACAAATCGCTTTAGATTTTTTATAATTATGAATAACTTGTATTTAGTTGTAACGCCTGTTTAGTCCTTACATAACTGATCGATTTTCTGATGATGACTGGGTGGTGTTCTGAGAAACTTAATTGTTCCTTTGATTTAACCGACTTGTTTAGTTCATCTGCTCATGGCCCAAACTCAGTTCAGCATATTCAAGGCGTGAGTTACGGTTAGAGCAAAACTCGACTCGATTCAAAAAATCAATTTCTTCGATTTGAATTGATTTCAAATAGTAATTTCATAAACTCGACTCAACTAGGAAAAATTCAAGTTCAAATTGAGTTATAAAATATAACTCGAATAACTCAAATTTTTTAATAATTAGTAGATTGATTTTCAAGTTTGAGTTGAGTTCATTGAATTTGTATGATATGTATCTCACATATAAAAAAAACATAAAGAAATATATGTATTGTATATTGTTTAAAAAAAATCATTTAAATTAAAATTAAATAGTATCATAATATTATAAATATTTACAATTAAATTTAAATAAAAAGTTCAAAAAATCTACTCAAACTGTATAAATTCGACTAAAAAATTTTCAAATTAAATTCGAGTTATAAAATAAAACTCCTTAACTCAAAAAATAAAAAAACAATAATGTTGAGAGTGGGATTTGAACCCACGCCCTTTCGGACCAGAACCTTAATCTGGCGCCTTAGACCAACTCGGCCATCTCAACCTGTTGACCCTAGTTTCATTTTTTTTAAATTAAACAAAATATATTTGAACAATTGGGTCAAGAATGATTTACATGGCCTGTCCAAAACATCTCCAATGGCATCACCTTAACAGCCGGTCCTGCCAAAAAATCCATGTCTTTTACTTAAAATTAAGTCCGCATTTCTTTTTTAAAGAAACCTAATTTGAATTAGGGTGAATATTTAACTAAGTCGAGTAAAAAAATATTAAGATATTTGAATTGGTAAGCTTTATTTTATAAATTTAATTTTATGTTAAAAAATAGTCGAGTCGAGTTGTTCGAATTTCTATTTAAATTTAATTATAAATATTTATAATATTATGATCTTCTTTGATTTAATTTAAATGATTTCTACAATTATATATAATACATATATATTTCTTCAGATTTTTTTTCATATGTGATATACATATATCATATAGAGTTGAAAGATTCGACTCAAACTTAAAAACTAATCGACTAATTACTAAAAAATGAGCTATTCGAGTTATATTTTATAATTTGACCTAAATTTAATTTTTTTTTAAATCAAGTTATTATGGTTTGATTCAATTCAATTTTTTTAAAATCAAATCAATTTTTGTTCGCCAACTATAAAAAAGTGCAACTCTTCATTAACCACGTCAAAGAAAAGCCTAAAGTTTACATCTTACCATCTATGATTGGAAAGTGCAATTGTTCCTTTGCTGGGAAACATATGTACTATAAAGTATAACAATGCCCGCTTTTTACATTTTCTCATTTCCCGTATTTTAAAACTTGGTTTTTGGGATAATACTTCAATATTATTTAATGATTTATATATACGTTAGAGTTCTTATATTTTTTGAAATTTAATTATTTTAGTTTATATTTGTAAACTAAAATTTATATATTATTTTTTATTTTGGAATATTTTATCTTATTTTAATTTTTATTTAATTTTATCATTAATTATTGATTTAGTAGATATAAAAGAGTAACATAAATTGTTTAATTAAAGATAATTCTTTTTTAAAGATTAAAAATTAAATTAGTAAATTTTACAAACACAAAGAACTGATTTAAATTTTACAAAAAAAAAAAGATTTATTCAGCTAAAAGAAATCCTATTCCATCAATACCCCCTCTAAAGCATTAATAAACGGAGTTTTTTCTTCTGCAAGGGACAAGGGTGAAGCGTTAAAGAAAGTTTAAGGACGCCGAAAAAGTGAAAGAGAGACTGTAGCTCTGTGACTCTATCCCGGGAATTTCTGACAAAAGGGTAAAGAGACACGAGAATTGGCAATAAAAGTAGAATCGGGACAACCGAGTTGGAACCCTGAGTTGATTGACTCGGGAATGATTCAGTGTACGTAGGTATCTTGATTGGAAAAGTTTAAAGAGTAACATGGCCCCCACTGGATGGATGCATGAATGCCATTGTTGAAGCTGGTTTCACAGTTTCACGCTGACTTCCATTCCAAAGCTCCCACCACTTAAATGTACTTGGGAGCCCCCACGTAGCAAATCCCCCTTTCCTTATTTGTCATGTGTTCCCCCAGCTCCCTTTGTTCTTATCTTCAACCGATCATCTAACACGCCGTTTTCCATTGCTAGATGCACTATAAGTCTATTATCCATCCTTTTCTTTTCTTTTCTCTTCTCATTTTCTTTTTTAAATTTTGCCTTCCTGTTTGCCACCTGATCTTGTGTGCAGACAAGAGTCAAGGCCAAGTGTGTCCATGAGAAATGACAGTCAGCTTTGCTGTCGACACGAGCAAACAGGTCTCCATGCCAACTATCATCCCTATTCCATATTAAGACACGTTTCGGTCAAGCTTAATTAACGCCATTGAGCTCTTATCTCCCTTTACTGTCATATAAATACCATCACCCCCCTTTCAGACAATGTGCTTATCAATCACTTTCCTCATTCTTTTTTTCTTTTTACTTTCCTTTGGTTTCTCTGTTGGAACAATGTCAACATCACTCATGGGTGGGTTTGGGGAGCGAAAACAAATTAAGAAGCCTGCACAAGCAAGCTCGAGAAAAGGGTGCATGAGAGGGAAGGGAGGTCCAGAGAATGCTCTCTGCACTTACAAAGGTGTCAGGCAGAGAACTTGGGGTAAATGGGTGGCTGAAATCCGCGAACCCAACCGTGGCGCTCGTCTTTGGCTCGGAACTTTCGATACCTCTCGTGAAGCTGCAATGGCTTATGATGCTGCCGCCCGTAAACTCTACGGCACCGAAGCCAAACTCAACTTGCCAGAATTGTGTCCCAGCCCCCGGTATCCACCACCTTCAACCAATACTCAGGTACCTGCCATAGGGAGTCAACCTCAGAACCTGAATAATCCAGGTACGGGTTCATCAGATATTCCAATTATCATCAGATTCAACGATGTACAACCCGTGTACAATAACGACTCGGTCATGTCTTTCCCCACAAGAACCTTGATTCTCAAGAAAACCTGGTGGAGAGCAATGAAAATTGGGGCAAATGAAGATGGAATTGATAGGTTCTGGGAAAATATGAGCGTGAACTTGCCTTTTTTAGATGAATCGATTTGGGCTGAAGCTGCTATCTCTCCCAGTGATGGATGATCCTGGCAGTTTTGCTGGCAACCTTGTGGATGCAACTGGCTGGGATGTCTTGGAATCCCCATGGTGCATGTAAACCAAAGCGAGATGTTACCATTCGTGGAAACGTGAAACAACACATACATGGTAACATAGGGTGCATTATGCATATACAAGTCATAGTTATAGGGTGCATATATAAGGGTGTATATAGAATTATAAATGTTGTTTCCTTCGTACCATCTGCAGTTCTACACTCTAGTCCATACTCTTATAGTAACAGCCATGAACACCACATAGGATTTTCTGGCTTTGTCGTGGCTTTATTTGCTTTTGCTTTTTCCAGTTTATGTTTCTGTGTCACGTACTGTTCTAGCCGGATTATATGTCGAAGCTTATAAAGTTTGTATATAAACAACACGTGCAACATATGTCCTGTCATAGAATAATTTCTAATGTTAATTAGAACGTGGAAAATATACAGAAAGTGTTGCGTTATTGTTTATACAACAATAATAGGTACTGTTTCTTTCTTATTGCTTCGTTTCCTTCATAAATTGAAGGGCCAAACTTAATCAGCTAAAAAAATTTCAATAAAATTACAATGGAAGCAAAAACAAGAATCCGTGTTGGATAAGAAAATGTCAGCGATTGCGCACTTTAATATTGATATCTTTGCTGCTCTTGTCAGCAACCGCAGCTTTTTCGTGTACATCTTCCGTTTCTTCTTTTTCCTGGCAAGTACAATGAAAAGAGACATTTCTTTGGTTTTTCTTTTTCCAAAACGACAAAACTCGTGTTCACATGCTTGTTTTTTTACTGAGAACTTATGCTCAAGGTGATCTTAAAATCGGCATGTTAATATTTAAATACTACTAAGTTGAACGATCCATTAATGTGAATCTACAAAAGATTTCCCAAAGGGGTTCTAATATCTGTTGTGAAACCAGAAAGAATCAACTTTGTACTTGACAAACCATGACTAAAACACCATTTTCATGATTTCTCCTTCCATGAAATGATGCGAATTACTCCTATAAATTGAGGAATGCATAAGAACAATCAACCATGGGGTCTCTCTTCTATTCACTGGCTAGCTCATCTTTTAGTCATGTATTGAGTGGATTTTCCAGTTCAAATCAAAATAGAAAACCAATTCTACAATACAAAAGTAATATGTACTCTGCACATATTTCGGATTATATTATTTACTGCAATCATTTTGCTTGATTTACATTTAATTCATGTAATAATTTCCGTTCATAGGTGATGTGCTTACCATATGCTTAATATGACGATAAAACAATGATATAAACCGAAGCCCACTTGATCAAATACCATAAAGGAGATGTGCTATGTGATGATGCATATGGCACAGAATTTCTGTGCATATATGGCTTAAATTGAGGATGCATATGGCACAGAATATCTGTGCATATATGGCTTAAAGGGTGTAGTTTCATCCTGTAATATAAAAAAAGTATTTGATCGTTAAGGACATTCAATGTCGAGCAAGTCAATATTTTGGTAAAATTTTGCTTTTGCGCAAAGGCAACAGCAGGGAAGAAGATTACAATCAAATGGTTGAAATTTTTTATAAAAGCTCGAAGATGGAAGATGAATAGTGTAGTTGCAGTTAGAGAAAAAAAAGAAGTTAAGCCACATACAAGTTGAGGAGCAAAATCAAGTTCATGATTCCCTGCAGTCTAAATCCAGGGATGATAAGCAGCATTCTCTCTAAAAATCATCCCCATGTATCCCACCTAGTATTGTCATGAAATGGATAGTCATTCGAGCATGAGAGATCCACCAAAAACAAGACTGTTTCCCATTTCTTTGGATTTGATTCATAATGGGTGAGTGTAACATTTGAATCATGTGGTTGACCAAGATGCCCTGTTCCATAGTGCTCGATTAGGATTGAGATCAAAATAAACCATGCAATACTAGGCGATGAAACGATGAACAAAAAAGAATGAAACAGAAGAGCTTGAAGAGAGCGTATAATAATCAGACAAATCAGAGGCGACCGATAACAAAATAAGACGATGACATGGATGTACCTATCAGGCCAAAAGTGTAAGGAACATCAGGGCCGATTTTTGGCGGAGTCGTAAACCAGAATTATCTGATAGTATTACCTATTCCGATCTCATATGTATTTGGAGTTATACTGCAGAAGTATGAACAGCTATAGTTACTGAACTACATTCATATTCCAAGCTTATCAAATAATTAAGCTTATTAAACATGAAAAACCTGATTAACAACAGAAAAGAGAAGAAGGGTACCTCCAAGTTCTTGATGATGCAGTGATGAATGTAACCCGAAGTGTAATTGAAGAACTTATATCTCACAAAAACCCCCTCAGCACGATTCTTATGCTTACTGTTTTCAGAGCAGTAGAGAACTGAACTGGAGCCAGGTTCATCAGGAGTTATCCAGGAAATGATCAGTCCCCTACCATCAGTATCTCCTTGTGTTATATGGACCTATCAGGATTCAGAACCCAGATATTTAAGGTTTAGATAACCCATTAAACTGTTGGAAGAAGTTTTAGAGAAAAGAAATAAGCATGCCTGTTGAGGTGCATTATAACCAGAAGGAGCTAGAAAAACATCACAGTCAAGGGGCATATCTGGAGAATACTCTTTCCTTCCAGTTATTTCTCCATTGTAGAACTCAGATGCACTCAATATCAAGCATAGAAGATAAACTATAGAAGGATCAAAGACTTTCAGCAAGGTATCTTAGTACAATCTCATGTCATCTGATTCCTGGTTTCTGGTGCATATGTATTACCTAGAACATAAGTGTTCTACTGGTTGGTAATGGTAGGTATTTTTAGTTTCTTGATGGAATATTTTTTCTCAAAAAGTAAGAATTAAAGACTATTCTTATATTATCAGAGTAAAACAAGGAAAGAAAGAAACTATTTTTATTTTCTTTATCATTCTCCAAGGTTTAGGTTATGAGATCAAATTTAACCATGATTAAAGATTTGCGTAAGTGGTTTCATGATATAAACCACATTAGTCTACTGTACATTAAAAACAAGGCATGCTCTATAAACCCAATGCAGATGCATTTTATATCCAGACATGATTGTTTATTGATTTCAATGTAAACATGATAATTATAGCAATAAGCAAAAGTAACCAAGGAAATAATTGATGGACTGTTCAACTATGGCCTCCTGCAGCGATGTGCAGACAATCATTGGACATGTGAGCACCTGCTTGGTTAGTGATTATCCCATTTTTTTGCCATATATTCTCAATACCTTATATTTATTGCAATGAATAAGAACACCTTTGTTCTGTGAAGAACTGTGATGTAATAATATAAGGGCTTAGCCCTCCTTAGTCAATAAAAAAAACACCTTGAATGATATAATTAGGCTGAGTAGCTAAAGCAATGCAGGATAAAATCATATGCTGGCTACATATAATTCTTCCGACTCTAAAACGCTCCAGTATCTATTCTTCAACCAGAGGGAATCGGTTTCCACAGCGTAACCATCTTGATTTCGTTGCCAGCCAAAATAGGCATGAGTCCTGTTCTTTACATCCAATATTCCATGGCCGAAACTGGCTTCACGATAAGCAGAGTAGGTTGGTTGTGGCTCCATCATCCTGTTCAAATTAAGACCAACACTGCTAAGTGATCATAGTCACAAAGAGAATTTTGATTCAAGGAGACAAATCTTGAACACCAGATTGCATACTCTGTCACTAATCCTTCCAGATTTCCTCTATCTCCAATGGTTATGTACACGGGAGCAGATGGATCCTTTATGGGAGTGCACAATCCATTAACAATGCTATACGCAATGTTTGATATGCGTTCCTGAAATGTAAATGATAAAATCGAAGCAATGCGAGCACCAAATATGGATATAGAATCATGGATAGTAACATTGAGTGTTTAAAGGCTAAAGGACCTTTATGTAACTATAATAACTTGCCAAGTTACTTTTACTAGTAAAATTATTGATAAAAAGGTTCCAATCTTACAGATCTTTCATAGGCATGGACGTGTCCGGAAAAAACAACATCAACCTTGTACTCCACGAACCATGGCTCGTACATTACTCTCAATGTCTCCCCCTCCATATAATGATGTACATAACTGCTGTAAAAAGGACAATGCATAAGAACAATGAACCATGGAGTTTCTGTCCTGTTCACTTTCAGAAACTCCTTTCAAGCCATTTGTATTGAGGTGTAGATTTCCCTGCAATAACATTTTCAGGAGATCATTGAGATATTTCCAGATACCTTCATCTGCTACATGCATAAAGCAATTAAAACTGGATGCGTAAACCTTATCTTCAACATGTTAAGGCAGCTCACTGCAACTTCTTGGTTTTTTTACTAGGAATCATGGGAAGAAAACAATCAACTGACATTTTCTCATGACGTTTGTTTGCTAAAGTAAAAAAGATGAATCACCATATTTTCTATTGAATCACTGAAAAGTCGACATTGAATACCATATGCTCATCATATAATTATTTGCAAGTCTATAAAGTTTCACGGGCATAAATATTGAGGAATCATTACAAAATGAGCCCCAATTGGACATGGTGGTAAATAGATATCAACCTAAGTAAATAGTTAGAGATTCTAGGATATTTCACAACCCACGTATAATTTAAATAATAAGTTTAATACTGTAAGCCGAGTAAGAAGACAAGACAATGATATATGCTGAAGCTCTCTTGATGGAGTACCAGAAAGGAGATGTACTCCCTGATGCTCTATAGGGTACATGATAACGGTGTACATATGGCTTGAAAGGTGTATCTTCCCCCTGAAACAAAATCGCCAATGCTTGCTTAATAAATTCACTTCTGCTAAGTGCTAATCCTAGCTCTGATATAAGTAAAGACAAGCATTAATTGAAAGATCAAGGAAAATAACTCTATTTAACAAGTTTAATGCATTGTTTTTTACACGCCACTACATATCCTCTGAAAACACTGTTCATGTCCACGACATGCGTATCTCTGAAAACACTGTTCATGTCCACAGCTAGTCTTGCGGATGCATTACTCTGAAAACACTGTTTTCGTCTAGCATATCTCCCAACTTACATCTATTTCTATTAATTTCTCCTCACCTCGTTTGATGGTCTGGACG